TGCTTTGGAGGTCACACCATTCCTTAAGTCGACTTGAATAGGATTCATATTTCATGCAGCTCAGTTACTATCTGTGCCCTCAGGGAAAAACACAGTCCAGATTCTTGTCCCATTGTGTGTAGAGCATGAAGGACAACTTAGGGACCAAGTATATCTTTTCACCAAACACATTATGAGGAAACTGTAATTCTTATAGATATTAGTGTTTTAAGGGAAAAAAAAGATCTAGGATAAACATTTCTGTGGACTTTTCCCTAGGTGATACAATGACAAGTTATAGTACTTACCAGTTTAATTATGTAAGTGTGTGTGTATGTGTATATGTGTGTGTTTATCTCTCTCTATATACATATAACATGTCAGAAGCTGCTGCTTTATAACAGTTATTACATGAAATACTTAGAATATAAAGTTATACCTGAAAATGATGATTCCAAAAGTTGATACTGACACAAGTAATGCAAACAGTGAGCAGGATACTGGCATGTACAAGAAGGAATACCTCAACAAAGAATACTGAGATAGCACACTAGACTAACAGCACATTCCCAACATTATATTTACATGCATACATGTATATATGCATAATATATTACACACATCTCTCTGTGTATGTATACACACATATATACATACATATACGTATATATGTAAAATCATCCTTCACATCCAAGCCCTCTGCTATAAAAAGGTATCACTCTGTATACCCAGGATCTAGCATACAGAAGCAATAAAAGCAATGATTGCTAAAGAAAGAATGGAGTTAATTCAATTTTCAGGGAAATAATCTATAAGATGATTAAAGGAAGGAATAAAGTAGTATCTCTGAGGGAAGATTACAATTAGGATTGGCTGATATAAGAATATCTTAACAAGCCAGGTGTCCACCGTCAAGCCAGTAATCTTAGCTACTCAGGAGGCAGACAGAGATCAGGAGGATAGCAGTTCAAAGCCAGCCCAGGCAAATAATTCCCAAGACCCTATCGCTTAAAAAAACCATTCAAAAAAGGGCTGGTGGAGTGATTCAAGATGTAGGCCCTGAGTTCAAACTCCAGTACTGTAAAAAGAGAGAAACAGAGAATGTCACAATAAGTCAAGGACACAAAAGGGTTTTCCTCTCAATTTGGAGATCATAAAATTTGCTAAAACTATAGCATTAATAATATAGGAAAGATACAAGCAAGAACTAGACATAAGCAAGGTAACTAGAGTTACTTTGTAGACCCAACCCTTGAGAGGTTACTAAATATCCAACTGAACATATTTACAAAACCACCTCAAGTCTCTTTACCTAAGACTATTTCTGATACATCCCACTTACATATTTACATTCTGCAAGTGCTTTCTTTGGCTGGTTCCATCACGACAGTGGTCAGTTAGAGAGCCCTCCATAGTCTTCCCCTCAGGGCTGGATTGCCATCTGGGAAGACACCTCTCCTGGAGGTGAGACTCCCCTTGCCCTTAGGAAGTCATCCTTCCATTCTGGAGAGGCTGCACCATTAGCACTCATACTGCCTGCGTTTTGAAACCATAAACTCTGATTTCAGGGCCATATGAAACAGTTGCCCTTGCAAAGGACTAAACAGAGCATCACAGAACAGGATCCTTTAACTGTTTAGACCCTCAGCTCCTCCCTGGAAGGGTGGGAAAAGAAACACTTAGCTTGCAGGTTTGTTGTGAGGTTCCCACATGACATGATTTAAAGATAGGCATCTAGAAGGTAGTGTAAGAATGTAAATAAAAAACATTAAAGTGCAAGCTTTGAAAAGTGTATCAGATGACAAGGTTTTTGCAAAAAGAACTAAATAAAAATATTTCTTCTTCAGATTAAAAAAAATCATTTACCTACTTACCCATTTCAGTCAATTCATGTTCAGTGTTAAAAATTCAGATTATATGGATAAAGTCCCATACTGCTTATACAAATTATGTTCTGGCATATTTAATATTCATACAGACATCTTTGTGTGTGTGTGTGTGTATGTATTTGCTTTCTGTCCTCAAAGTAGCATGTCTTGTTATATGTTCCTTAACATAATTCCTTGTCAAGAAATAGGCTTCTATGTTGCCACTCTCAGTGGCTGCACTGTACCCCATGTACGACTATACCGTAAACTATTTAACCAAGTCCCTAATGAAGGACATTGAATTACTGACAAATCTTCATCCTTGTAATTAACATTGTGTTAAACGTTCCCACACTTGAGCTATTCTAAAACCTCTGCCATTTATAGCTCTACTAGATGCTACAGCTCATGGAGGGACACAGCCAGATGTTACTCACAAGCTGACAAGCAATGGCACCTTTATCTCTTGTGATTTTCTTAATCATGAAAACAATAGTTATTCTCCTACTCCACAATGAGATTTTTCCCCTGTCATTTAAAGTTGTTTCCCATGAATTTGAAATGATCCACAAAATTAGTTGAAATTCTTAGATTTTAGGAAAAAAACAGAATTAGTAAAAGAAGGTCTTGATGCTTATTCCTCAGCTGTAACACTTGTCTACAATTTTTGCTGCTCCCTTGTGTCTAGTCTCAGTTCCTAAAAAGTTGCTTCTTACAGGAAGCCTTTCCCAATAAATGGACAGTGGGTTTTCCTCCACTTTTAATTCCACAATGTGATTCCCGTGACTTCTTACTTAAGAACCACTCCATTTTTTCTGCACAAAGTATAAAGCCCATATTTACTGTCTTTTGTTTACTTTGGTTTCTATTTCACTAATTTCCATAGTTGTCTTTATTGTTTTCCTCTAATTTTTGACAAATCCAGTTCTTTTTAAGCTCCTTAAGCAGTGCATTTAGTTTATTTATTAAAATCTTTCCTTTTCTTATTTAGTTCTAAGTATTTCAAAATCCCACTGAGATTTCTTCTTTAAATGAAAAGTTCCTTAGAAATGTGTATTTTAGTTTCTAAATTTATCTTTTAATCATTGGTTTCTAACTTAGCTGTATTGTGCCTGGGCAATGTGATTTGCTCCATAATGATTTTCTGAATGTTCTGAAACTCTTTTCATGACCTACTACATGGTCCAATCTGCAGACATGAGCCTTCAACAGAAATTCTGTTAGCTTTTACACATGTTGGGTTAATCTCTTTTATATCTAGCATATTTTAATAGAAATGATAAGATCTCCCCTTATGATTGTGGATTTGTCAAGTTCTCCTTTAAATTGTCAAAAAATATCAAATTTTGCTGGTACATGCACATTTCAAGGTTATTCTTACATTCTTTGTGGATTGTTCTTTTATAGTGACCTTCTTTATTACTGTTAATATTGAATTTGCTTTGAATTCTATTTTTTCTGATGTTAAGATTGCTACTTTATCTTTTCATCAGCTGGGACTTGCCTGGTATCTGTTGACCCTGCCTTTATTTTCAATCCTTCTAATCAGCTTTGAGTTATATTCCCTTCTAAGCAGCACACAGCTGGATTTTTCATAAATCTAAGCTGGTAGTCTCTTTCCTTAAAGTTCAATCCATTTAAGTTTGTTGGGACACATTTCTACCATCTTATTCTGTGTTTCCTACCTACCCTCCTCATTCTTTCCTTTTCCCCCCATAATCTCCTTTCTAGTCTTTTCTTAGACTAATAAAATGTTCTATTTATTTCCATTTTTGTTCTCTTTTGCTTTAGGTTATATTTGCAAACTCTAAGGATTCATCTAACACTGTATGTAATGCACATCTACAACAGGAGGGCCCTCAGTGCCTGTGAAAATCCCTGTGTTAAGGTTGACTTTCAATGAAGTGAGCAGAGAGCTGTTCATTTAATTCAGCAGACAGAGGCGTAGATTTGCAGTCAGTGCTTTTGATCAGAGTAGGGATATTCTTTTCCTTTCAAATGTAGCATCAGCATCACTAGATACACTGAAATTTCCCCTTAATTTCAGTAATTTTTACATGCAGATAGTCCTACAGAGAAATAATTTTCCTTCTAAAAATAACCACACAGGATTTATGGTCCTGCTCTTCCACTTTTATCAAAGTTCACCCTCTTTTTATAGTTTTATTATAGGAGTTTTAGGTTTTTCCACTGAGGACTTAAAATTTCTGTCTTTAAATTATTTATAGCCAGAAAAGAATCGGAAATGATCCAAATTTGGGTTTAGGGAATAGTTACCAAAACTGTACATTAAGTCACCGGAACACTGAAGGATCCTCTCTAAAATATCTACACAAAATCTAGATATAAACATATATAGATTATACTGACATGAAGATGTTCAGCAAGTAAAGTAGGATCGTGTTGATGCTTGCTACTATGTGCAATGAATACTGCACCCATCCACAGAGTAGTTGTGGAGTGATGTAATCTAAAATTAAACTTTAAGTTTCCCCTTGAAGTAACATAAATCATTTTTCTCTTTCCTTTTCTTTCTTTTTGCTCATTTTAGTCGTGGTTGTCATGGTTGCCTTTTTTTTTTTTTTTTTGAAGAAAATCTAACTTTCAGTTCCTAACAAGGCCTAAGCTATTTCTCATACTTTGTAAGTTAACACAAATCAGATCACTGTGGTAAGTTCATATTTCACTGTATAATCGTGTGACTGATTTCATTTCCTGGCAGTGATATGCATTTTGAAAGAAAAAAAAAAAGGTTCAACTGAAATTCAATTTTAAAACAAAGTTTAAGGCTCATTTAAATGTAGGGTACTTTACATGATTTTAATCTTACCCAGACAATGTTTCAGAAAAAGGGGAATTTCTACCTAAAAAGTTAGTGCGTTCCCTTTTGTTACAAAAATGTATTTGCCTTACTTAGATGGTTTTATTTCCTTTGCCAGAGTGCTGATAAAGCCATTAATTGTGAGAACAAAACCAAAAGTTTTTTTCTCTGTTCTTCCCAAATGCTATCCTATATGTAACTGTATTGCATGTTGTAGATTTTTAAAAATTACACAAATATTGAAAAATTTTAAAGTAGGTAAATGGCAGGTTATATTGCTTTGAGTTAAATATGCATTTAATTAAATAGACCCTTCTTGTTTTTTTTTCTAGTAACCTTGTCTACCACTGCTGGATACAGAAATGGCTAACAATTTTACTCTACCTTTGATAACTCTTCAGGGAAACAACTGTGATCTTTATGCACACCACCACACGGCCAGGATATTAATGCCTATGCATTACAGCCTTGTCTTCATCATTGGCTTGGTGGGAAACTTGTTGGCCTTGGTTGTCATTATTCAAAACAGGAAAAAAATCAACTCTACCACCCTCTATTCAACAAATTTGGTGATTTCTGACATCCTGTTTACTACTGCTCTGCCAACACGGATAGCCTACTATTCACTGGGCTTTGACTGGAAAATAGGTGATGCACTGTGCAGGATAACTGCTCTTGTGTTCTACATCAACACATACGCAGGTGTGAACTTTATGACCTGCCTAAGTATTGACCGTTTCTTTGCTGTGGTGCACCCTCTGCGATACAACAAGATTAAAAGAATTGAATACGCAAAAGGCATTTGCATATTTGTCTGGATACTAGTATTTGCTCAAACACTTCCACTGCTCATCAACCCTATGTCAAAGCAGGAGGCTGAAAGGACTACTTGCATGGAATATCCAAACTTTGAAGAAACAGCATCTCTTCCCTGGATTCTGCTTGGTGCCTGTTTCATAGGCTATGTGCTTCCACTCATAATCATTCTCATCTGCTATTCTCAAATCTGTTGCAAACTCTTTAGAACTGCCAAACAAAACCCATTAACTGAGAAATCTGGCGTAAACAAAAAGGCTCTCAACACGATTATCTTTATCATTGTTGTATTTGTTCTCTGCTTCACACCTTACCACTTGGCAATTATTCAACACATGATTAAGAAGCTTGTTTTTCCTGATCTCCTAGAATGTAGCCAAAGACATTCCTTCCAGATTTCTCTGCACTTTACAGTATGCCTGATGAACTTCAACTGCTGCATGGACCCTTTTATATATTTCTTTGCATGTAAAGGGTACAAGAGAAAGGTCATGAAGTTGTTGAAACGTCAAGTCAGTGTATCAATTTCCAGTGCTGTAAGGTCAGCCCCAGAAGAAAATTCACGGGAAATGACAGAGTCGCAGATGATGATACATTCTAAAACTTCAAATGGAAGATAAAAGGACCACATCTTGGACTATATAGCCAAGTATATACTGTATGGTGAACTCTTCAGGACTCTCTTACAAAGCAAAATGTTCAATTTCCAATTAGGATTTCTTTCATTGGGCACTATTTCCCACCATCAACTTGGAAGTAAATGGATTTAAAGATATTAGTGCAAGAGAACATAAAACAAGCTCTACTTCCTTCCAGCCATGAGTGTGACAAAAGAGAAAAGACTGATTAGACTGTATATTGCTGGTGTAAAAATGTTAATGTTGTAATATATTTTGGTAATCTGTGTTTCTTTCAATTTTATGTTTTATCTCCTCAGTAACACTTTTTTTTGTTTTATTCTGAGTCGTAACTGTCTCAAAGGACACTTTTCAGAATAAAAAGCAGGATGCTACAAAATTTTGAGTTTGTCCCTCAATGCCCAGGTCAACTATCAGCAGAAGTTACAGGGGAGTAGAATTAGCAATAGATAGATTTGAATAGCATCGATATAAATGTTGATGATGCCTGAGGCAACGAAAGCATCAAGCTTTTCCCCAAACCATCTGCACAGTATCTAAGGGATACCACTCAAGAATGTGACAAGGATCTTACATGAGGCACCTACTGGGAGGAGGGTCCACTTGCTAAATTTTTCTTGAGAACAAAAAAACATGCAGAACTGTTTGGTATTCCTTGGTTCTTTAGCAGATTGTTTCTATTTTACCCCTAGGTTGGTAGTACTGTATTGTTTCGTCATAGTTTGGGTTACCAGAAGGGTGGGTGGGGGTGTGAGCAGTAGGGGATGCAGTTGCTACTTGCCTAAATAAGAAAGAAAGTAAATTGCAAAACTGTAAGTTAAGAGCTCTCAGGATTCTTGCTCAAATGAATACCTTAATATGAGTCACATGACCTTTCTAAGTACAGTCAATCTGTCTGCTGGATCAAATTTGTTTTACCCAGCCCTACAAATTTCTCCAATCCAGTATCTCAATTGACAATGATATTAATTGAGATAACGGAAAATAAAGCACTGGACCATGAGTCATATTTTAAAATTTTTATTGGGCTTTATATTCTTATCCTGTAAGAAAATTAATTCTTTTTTTTTTTTTTTGACAGGGTCTCACTGTACAGTTGAGGCCAGTCTGGGACTCACTAGGTAGCCCAGGCTGGCTTCAAACTTGAGATCCTCCTGCCTTCTCCTCCTGAATGCTGAGATTACATGTGTGTACCACCATGCCCAGATTAAAAAATTAATCGTAGTGGTTGATGCAACAATTTTACTGAGTACAGTTCAGATCTGCATGACATTAAATCTCACAAAGAGCTACCTGGCCGTAGACTGTGGGTGGAAGTCTGGATCTTAGTTTCTTTCCTTCACTCCATCTATAAACCTTCCTAAGTGAAAGGGAAGAAAAAGCAAACACTAAATTTTGTGCAAGAGATGACACAGGTAGTCATTTGAGTCAGATCTTTAAAAAGAATCTACTACTAAAGGAAAACCAGAAACAAAGTTTTCTTAATTTCAAGCCTTTTTTTTTTTTTTTTTTTTAATTTCAAGCATCTTAAAGGCAAATTAGTTCTATGACCACACTGGAGTGCATACCAACACACACAGGAGCTAACAGGCTGACACACAGCAGGTGACAGGTGCTAAGAGTATTAGGCCAGGATTCTTCAAACAAGAAAGTAGATACCTATGGTAGTTTACAAAGGAATATCATATTCTGTTATCTGTTAAATTTTCCATCTTCTCCCTCTACCTTATCCCAAATGTATAAAAATGATTGTATCTAGTCATCAGTAGCCTAATAAAAAGTAAACTCTAGACAAGCACATAATCCTAGCTACTTGGGAGGCAGAGATTGGTAAGATCATGGTTTGAGGCTAGCCTGGCAAAAAGTTAGTGAGATCCTTTCTCAACCAATAAAAAAGTGGGGCATGGTAGCATACTCCAGTACCTCAAAAAAAAAAAAGGTAAACTCTAAACCTAACTCCAAGTAATGTTTTTAAGTGTGCAGTCCTGTCAAACTCAAGTTATCAGTTCTTCTTGTAGAGGCTCATGCTGCCATTCCATTCATCAGGCCACATGTGACCTTAGGCACTTTCCCATTGTCTTGGATTGTTAGTTAGTTTTATTTTAACTTCTGCCATATTCCCCTCACCTGCAAGTTAACCTGGCACACAAGGGCAGTGCTGGGTAGTTTTTGCATTCTGCTATAAACAAAGAAGGTGATATTTCATTATCTGAAAATCACAGTTGTATAAGTATTTTCTATGTGAATCAGGTCATATATTAGCAAGTTAAATAACAACCGGGAGCTAGAAAAATGCACCTGGGAAAGCAGATAGTTATTATGGCAGCGAGCCATTTTTTTTTTCTTTTATGATCTCATTTTTATCTCTAAAAGGATCATATGGTTAATTTTTAAATTAACCTATTATTTTAAATTAAGCTATGCATCTTAAATTCATTAAATGCATTGATTATTCAGTGAAAACGAATAATAAATGGTAGAGTTAGAAATGGCATCAGGTATGTTCAAAGAACTGAAAACTTTACAAAATGGTCCACATGTTATGTAATGCCTACATTTCCACAATTCTGTGAACAGGATGAGCAGACAGGATATTATCCGCACTAAGTCCAGAAAAGGCAGCAGCAGAGATGTAGTCCTTACTCAGTATCCTGTCACAAAGAAGACAGAACTGAACTGTGTGGACCTGGAAAAGGCACAACATGGCTTAACTGTGTCATTTTATGGCAGCAGACTATATAATCCTTAAATAGGAAAAATAACTCAATAATAGGTAGATCATAAATTTGGCTAGGCTGTGAGCCCCATGACAAAGAAGACTTTGTATGTACACAGAACCTGTCACAGTGCCTGGCCCATAGAAAGTTGTCAAATACGCATTTAACTAAATAGCAATTTTATGCTATTGATAATATTTCTTACTGAAATGTCTATAGTTCTTATTTTCTCAATAAAATGAAAAGAAATGCCACAAATACCAAAGAGCCTGTATAACTGAAGATAATTATATAAATGTGTGCCATAGAAGACCCTGCAACTTAAACTAGACATACAAAAAAACGGAGCTAATTAAGCAGCAAGTCAGTCACAAACTAGATACAGAAATATGTTCTGCTTGGAAATAACTTCATATTTCAAGAGACAAGGGCAGTGGCTCCTAACAAACAATAAAAGGTAGCAAACAATTTTTAAAAGGGAAAGTGCTGATTAGCCCTTAAAATGTCATATTTTAGTCATTTTAGCCCAGTAGATCATGTTATTCTCTGCAAAGCTAAAAACATTTGTTCATTGACTATTCAGGTGAAAAATGAGAAATGAAAAACACATGAATTAGAATTGACATGGGACAACAAGGCCTGTTCTTTAGAAACACATCAGAACTGCAGCCGATGGAAGTTTTTCCTACACTTAGAAAAGCCACTGGCTTACAAGAAGCCCCACATTTCTATTAATTTAAAACCTTAAGAAGCTAAGAAAGAACATTATTGATCACTTGCTACATGCTACTTTCCAAGCACTGTGCAGACATTACCTTAATTAGTACCTAAGCAGTTGATAAGCTTCCTATCCCCAATGTGCTCATGAGGAAATCAGACACCAAGGCCACATGGTAGGGTGGAGCAGGGACTAAACCCAACTTTCTGACTTAGTGAGGCAGACAGGCAGTTCATGCCTCCACCTAGAAAACGTGCTCACCAAGAAGTGGCTACAGTTCCCTCAGCGTGCCTGGGCCCAGGACCACTTCCTGTGGCCTCCTGTGCCTTGACACTGTATTCACTGCCACATGTGAACTTCAATCTACTTCCCCACATGGCTCCCTAATTTCTCGCAAACACCACCTTCATTCACTCTGCCACCCATACCTTATTATCCTCCTCTCATCCATGGGGGTCAGACGGTGAAGAAATCCTTGCTTGGATTTTCAAATCTTGAATTCTCTCTTGCTCATCTTCTGTTTGTTCCATACTATTGTTCTAGCCTAGACACTGGCCATTGCACACCTAAATTACTACCACCTCTCTCTGGACCCCTCAACTAGAGCAGCCTTTTTTTAGGATGCCATCCAGGAAGTCACAAGATCACACTAATAAGAACAATCGTAATACTTGCTAACAATTACATAGCATAGCACTCTAAGCACTTTACATATGTAAGCTCATTTAAGCTTCATAAAGTTCTGTGAGACTTTGTATGTGTGTGTGTGTGTGTGTATTGCTGGGGCTGGGACCCAGATCCTCATGAATGGTAGGCAAGTACTCTACCACTGAGCTATATCCGTAGCCCTGAGACTACCTTATTTACTATCGCAGTTTTATCTACTACAAAACCTACCCAAGGAAGGGTGAATGAGTAACTTGTCCACAGTAACAGTAGCTGGGGAGACAGGCTCTGGACTCTAGTGGTCCTGCCCCAGTCCACACTCTTAATCACCACATTTTCTGTCTTAAATAAGTAGAATTTCATGTCCCTCGCAGCATTTGAGAGACATTCATTGCTCACCACACAGTCTTGCATTCTCTGGGGGACATGTAACTAGTCTGGCCAATGAGCTGGGGAGAAAAGTGGTGAAGCATAAGAGAGCAATGAGGGATAATCCTTTCAGCTCTTCTCTATCGCCGCAGCAGGCAGTGATACTCTACAGATGGTGAGAGTTTTGTCAGCCTGGGTCCCTGAATGAGCGCCCACCTCCAGGCTCCACCTGTCTGTATTGTATATCCACATAACACAAACAAGAAACACACTTAAGCATTAACCTAATGGCTCAGGCCCTGTGGCTCCGGGCCATCCTGAGCCACAAATATCCAGGGCACATTTGTGGCTGCAACATAACCTAGCCTATTCTGATTAATACAATTTAACCTACTTGAACTGAAAAAAAAAATTCAGAAATATAAAAAAGAAAAATGCAGATGCTACTCAGTTCTTTTGGAGAACAAACATAATCTTCCCTCAATCCCACTTCCACTGGGTCATTTCATGTTCAAGGACTGAGAACAGTTCCCAAGGCTTACCACATCAAGTCCAAATTCCTCTCCCACTTTTTCCAGTCTCTCCAACCTAATGTCCCTCCATTGTCCACTGCAAAACTTCTGAGTCAGTCTGGTTACTTTTGTCTCTGTCCACTGATTGGATTATTCTACTGCTTCCACTTACTGTTTATACTTATATCCAAATCATTTGTACTTACATCCAAAATTGTACCTCCTCCTTTAATTATTCTTGGATGACACAAAACCACTTATTTCCCTTTCTTGAACTTATTTGGCTTTTACAGTCTATGCCACATAGTTTGAACTTGGACATGTATTACCTTACAACAAAGGAAGAAAGTACTACTCTAGCCTGGATCTGAGGCCTAGATCTAGCTGGATGCTAATTATCTCCAACCCAGGCTTTGAACCTTTCTAGATCTCAGTGTTCTTATCAGTGAAAAAGTGATAGATAGTATTGAAGCCTACATGTAAGCCCTGTAGCCTATGATCTATTATTTTATTCTCATATCCCTCAACTAAAACATAAACTTCACTGAGGTAGACATTGACTTCTACTGCTTTCTATTCTGGATAGTTCTGAGTACAGCCCCTTGACTACAGACAATGCTCAAAAGACATGTAGATAAGAAGTCATCATATATTAGCTATATGCTTTGCATTAGTAAAGCCTGGAATATGAGGTCTGTATTATTGCATTTTGTTAGGCAGCAATAGATAACTTT